GAAGGGAGAGATAAGTATTACACTAGGCAAGCTTATGGTGTGTCTGTGTGGCATGTGAATGCTCTTTGCTGAGGAGTGAGTGAATTCTTTCTATATATGGTTCTTGTTTGTTGAATTTTATGTGTTGTGAACTTCTTTCTAGATTTTGTGTTTAACATGTGAGGGATTGTGACTGTCAGGAAAAAGAAGCTGAGGTCTTCACTTCTGTTAGAGTAATTAGATGTTGAGCACTTGATTGGTTTTTTTTTCAAGTGTGTGCTTTGGCTATGAGATGTCTGCTATTTTGAGAGTTTATTGTGCACTGCTTGGTGATTCATTGATGAATGGGAGGTAATAGCAGGTGTGACATAAATTGGGGCAATGCATTGAACAGTTAGGCCTAGAAGTGTGGTTTAGTTTGCTCGAGGACGAGCAAAGGTTTAAGTGTGGGGTGTTGATAATAGGTGAATTTGACTATAATCACACCTTAAATAACCACTTTCTTGTATAGTTTTGATGATAAAAGTGATAACAAAATGCTCTTATTAGTGCTTTTCATGATTTGCAGGTGATATATGATCAGGGAAGGCTAGGGAGTATTTTTGGAGTCAAAAATGAAGAAAAAGAGGCCAACTGTGAAATTCCCCAAGTAAACCACGCAAAACAGGCCTGAAGATTAAGAGGACTAGGTTGACCGCGGTTCCACCGACCGCGGTAGAACCGCGGTGGAAGATAGCTGCGGATAAATTCAGATTCAGAGAAGGCATTTGGCCGCGGTTTGACCGCGACCGCGGCAGAACCGCGGCGGAAGCAGAAAACTTCAGGGACCAAAGTGTAAAACACGGGATTTTTAGACCTAAACCCTATTTAAAACATTAGACTTCGCCCAAGAGAGGCATGCATTGATTTTTAGGGTTTCTTAGCAAGGAAAACCATTGTGAGAGAATACTCCAAACATCTTTCTTCTTTACTTTTGATTTTTATGATGAATTCTATCTTAATTTATTTTTCCATAGCCATGAGTAGCTAAATTCCTTATCTAAGGTTTTGATGGAACCTATTGGGTGATGAACTTCTTGTTTATGTGAATACAAATTGCTAGTTTAATCTCTATTTGTTCGACTTCGTGTTTGTTGTAGTTAATTGATAGGATCCTCAATTAGCTGTGCCTATTTAGTGTACATAACTTGGAAAAGAGTGCATATTTAGGGTATTGTTGAACAACACCACTCCTAGATTATTAGAGGAATCTATAATTGCGGGTTTAAAGGCGGGATTAAGGATAACGAAGCCTTGGGTGTAATCTAAAGTGAATCGTGCTAAATAAAGTAAGCTAGTGTATCTCGGGAGAGTGCAATAGGAAATTACTGTGATTACTCGGGAGAGATTTACGGTAAGATTAGCGTTCGTGATTGATAGATATGTGTTGGTAAATTTGTATGAGCATAAACAGAAGGGATTCCATCAATAGGGGAAATCATTGCCTTAGCTTTTTATCATAATTGTTTACAACCTTATTAGTTTAGTTTACAGCTATTTAGTTACTTGCAAGCATAGTTGTTAAAGAACATTCAACTGAGATTTGAATATTTGGGAAGCTGGTTCTGAAGAATTAGTGGGTCTGAAGATAGTGGTTGATAGGTTAACTCTCTGTGGATTCGACCCTGGGCGTAATACTCGGGTTATATTTGCAACGTCCGCAGAGTCCTTTTTATAAGGCATAGCTGGGCGTGATCACCCATGAAGTCTATCCCCCATACATCGAACACTTCAACCTCTTGAATTGGGTTCATGGGTATCTCACGGCGACGGGAAATGTTCCCGGTTCGCTGACATTCATTACAACCCTTCACCCATTGATGTGCATCCTTAAATACAGTTGGCCAATAGAAACCGGCTTCTAGCACTTTTGCTACCGTCTTGACCCCTCCAAAATGCCCGCCATATGCCGATGCGTGACATGCCTGCAAAACAAAAGATTGTTCTATCTCGGGGACACACCTCCGAATCATATTGTCAACACATATTCTAACAGCTAACTATGACTGAGTTGTTAACAAATAAGAGAAGGATCTAAGGTTGTGATTTCCCCTATTGGTGGAATCCCTTCCTGTTATATTTCATATAGATTTGCATAGTCGTCTCTATCGATCATGAGCACTCTTACTACCGTAAATCTCACTAGAGTAATTACGATAATTTACTAGACGCACTCTCCCGAGTTACGCTAACTGGCTTTTATTACAACTCACTTTAGATCACACCCAAGGCTTCGTTATCCCTAATCCCGCCTTTAAACCCTCGATTATTGATTCCTCATATACTTTGGGAGTGGTGTTGTTCAACAATTACCTAAATATGCACTCTCTCCCGAGTAATACATACTAAATAGGCACAACTAATTGAGGATCCTATCAATTAACTACAACAAGAACGTAGTTGATCAAATAGAGATTAAACTGTGCAAACTATATTAACATAACACGAAGTTCATCCTTCAACAGGTTCTATCAAAATCCTAGACAAAATAATTAGCTACTCATAATCGTGTTCATAATAGTAGCCAAATTCATCATAAATGATAAATACAAAAGGAAGAAAGGTAGAACTCATGTCGAATTATCCTCCTTGCCTCTTACCTCTTCTTATCTTCAACTCAATTGTAAAAACCTTGATAATGTCACTTTGGGCGAGCCGGACCTCTTATAGGTTAAGTGGAATTACCCCCAAACTTCCAAGTTTACCCCTGATTATGTGCTCCGAACTGGACTAGCGTGGCCGCGCTCTTGCCCGCACATATTGCATAACATTCTGCATCGATTTTCTGGAGTTTGGCTATTCTTTTCTATTGAAAAGGAGTCAGCTGCCTGCGCGAGTCACCTTCTTCTAGGCTCCGCTGGACGACACGGCATTTTCATTCAAATATATACTAGCGCGGTCGCGCTAAGGGTGCGCTAAGGCCGCGCTAAGCTTGTACATCATTTTATCTCTTCTTTTCTCTCTTCTTTCACACGTACTCAGCTCCGAGGGGCTTCCCTTGCTTTAATTTAGCTCCAAACACTGTCCTAAGTCCTCATAAGTGCAACTCGCTCCTGCAAAATATGAAATTCACAATTAGAGCCAATTTATCGTCATTTAACCATCCCAGAACAGTGAAGCATAGTCAAGTTGAGGCATAAATAGTCGCCAAACTACATAAATCTAGCCTATTATCAATTTCTAACGAGGGGCTTTCTTTTCATTTTAACTATATTTTCACAAAGTTGTTCGTCAAAACTATAGATAAATAAATGGAGACAAATTGCAAGAAAAGTAAAGATAAATAGAGTGAAGTATCTTACTTTCACCTTACACTTGCACACTGTCAAAAGCAATAGTAAACATTGAGTATTAATGTGTTTGTGCATATTATACGAATATGTAACGTAACTTAATGAGCTCATGTTCATACTGATTATTATTTGAAAGGTTTGTGTGTATTTTTTTCTTCTTATAAATGTGGACAAGGGAGGAGTATCATAAAAACATTTAACCTTACTTTTAAACAAAAGAATAAATCGATTGGCTCGGTCAATTTGCATCTGGTTGCACGAGTGAAGAAGGAGAGAGGTCGGTAACTTTACGTAGACTGTCAAAATTTAGTGCAAGAGAGATAATTTGCCTAGTGTGGGAATGCTGGGCTTTAGGGTGTCATTAATTACACACAACGAGGAGTTTAAGAGAGTCCCAATAAACCAAGTTCAAACTGCTTTGAATATTGGTTAACCCTTGGTGTGTGTGTCTGGGGGGGGGGGGGGGTTGTGGTGGATAAAAGAATGGAACCCTTTCCAGTTAAGAATGTAAGTTTGTCTTACTATAAAGACTAAAAGGCCATCAGCTTTTAGTATAGGGAGACAGTCGTGCCCTTTGTGATTATTAAATTTATTAAAATCAAAGATATTTATATTGGCGGTGTAATTTTTTTGTCACTCTATTAGTATAATTTAATATATTGTAATAAGTTAATAACGTTAGTTAGAAATTTTACTAGGTTAATAATGCTTTTATAAAATTCCATCTGTCTCATTTTATGTGGCATGTGAACTTTGACCATCATTTTAAAGTATATTTTTTCATCAAATTTATATGAGAAGAATTGCAACTTGTAGTAATTTTCATATAGTTTTTTAGTATTTAAATTTTAATATTAGAATATTGAGTTAATCTAATTCAATTTAGCTTAATTGACTACCGATTAGCGAAAAGTACTCATAAAAATTGGGACGGAGGGAGTATTGTTTAGCATAGGAAATTATATGTAATTATGTTACAAGTGATCTAGTTGGGTAAATATACACTAGGTGTGATCTGTTGGAATTTGTTGATTAGATTCATATTCTTCATTTCAAATATTAATATTCCACAAGGAGTTTAACAGGAGAAAAGAGTGATTTAAATACCTCACTCTCTCTCAGTATTTATTTCTCTTTCCTTTCTACCCCTCACTCTCTACTACAGTTTTGTGTTTGGATGAGAGAATGGGATAAGTTAAGAGACAGTCAAACAGAGGGGAGAAAGTGAGAAAGATAGGGAGTTCAGTAGATCCTTTGTCAGTTTCATTTTCTTCTATTTTAAGTTAATATTGTATCTGCTGATAATATTGTATTCATCATTTAATCTGCTCACTAATTCTTTTCTTGTTCTTTTTTCCAGTCATGAGCAAGAATTGATCCATTTAGCACAAAAGTTTAAAGCTCAACATAGAGTTAAAGAAATTTGCAAGAATATCATGGGCTCCATGAATTCAAACAACTGGTTATCTTTCCATCTTTCTCCTACTCATCCTTCTTTAGGGTTAGTAACTGAAACCATTGACAACCCTTTCCAAAATCAAGGTATAGAAACATCTACAATAACCTCTCTCGTCGCGTGTTCCTTCTGTTGAAAATAAAATTTATGTAAGTAAAAGTGTGTTCTCTCTAACATCTTCAACACGTTCTTCTGCAGAGTGGAATTTTACTGACACAGGAGGCAGTGAAGTGCCAAAGGTTGCTGACTTTCTTGGAGTTAGCAAATCGGGACACGAATCTGAATTAGTCTCTTACAGCGAAATCCAAGCCAATGATAATTCGGGTTATCTCTTCCCTAACACAAACCTAATGCCAATGCAAAATGTCACCTATGACCTTCAGGAAAATGCTTGTAATATGCAATCTTTGACATTGTCAATGGGGAGTGGTAAGAGCTCAACAAGTGAAACTAGTGCTAGCCCAAGTGCCAATGCCACTGCAAGAGCTAGTTGTACTAGTGGTGAAAATAGTATTGTGGAAGCTGCACCTAGAAGGACTTCAGATACTTTTGGACAAAGAACATCAATTTATAGAGGTGTAACCAGGTAAAACTACTTATTCTTTTTTAGGGTTTGTTTCATTCTTCTCTCTTTCTATCTCTCCCTATCTTTTTTTTCAAGAATTTAAGGTTTATGCATTGATATTGTAAAAGATTTTTACACAATCAGGTCATTGACTACGTTATTTCTTCCATCTTATTCCATTCCCGATTGATACTAAAATGATAAGTGAAGTAGTCACCGTCTGACCAATCGGCTCGGACGCCTGACCGCCTGTGCCTGCCTATTTTGTCTCGCCCCTAAGATAATTGAACGAAAATAATAACTAACTTGCTATCACAGATTAAACTACAATGAGAATGTCCAGCAATCGTTACATAGTATTAGTCAGTATATATAACTTAACTTTTTTTTTTTGTTCCAACTATTTGTGTAGAAAACCCTTTGAATTTGCTTGATTGGGAAATGTAGGCATAGATGGACAGGAAGATATGAAGCACATTTATGGGATAATAGCTGTAGAAGGGAAGGACAATCAAGGAAGGGTCGTCAAGGTAAAATTCTACACCTACATTCTAAGACTTACAATTTAGCTTAAATTTTTTATTATTTTTTTAAAACTTTTGCTAACTCTTGTTTTTCATTTCTTTGTGTTATTTTGGGTGGCTACCATAAAATTTGTGTTCACTTGCAGTGTATTTGGGTAAGTAATTTCTTATCTTTTCAAAATTAAACTATTAATTGATTATTGAGAAGAACTTGATTTAATATAGTCTTTTCTTTTTCACTTGACTAGGAGGGTACGATAAGGAGGAGAAAGCAGCAAGGTCCTATGATCTTGCTGCATTGAAATATTGGGGAACATCTACCACTACTAATTTTCCAGTAAGTCTTTACTTAGAACATTATGAAAAAATGTATTTAGTTGTAGAGACGGGTCCAACATTTAAATTTATCTAGTTCAACTTATATAGATTCGCACCATTGAACCAATTACACATTTCAAAGTATGGGTTCAAATTTAATTGCTTTTTTTATTTTTAGTAATTTTTTACATATTTCGCATAAAAAATACTGGATTCAACTGCATTAATCCATTAGCTCTATGATACATCGCCATTGATTAGTTGATGGTTATTTAACGAAATAGTCTTCTATATTTTGGTCTGTTTTACAATTATCTAATGAGTGCAGATTAACAACTATGAGAAAGAAGTGGAAGAGATGAAGCATATGACAAGGCAAGAATCTATTGCTTCTATAAGAAGGTAAGAGCTTTATTGAAATGTTAAACTCGTTCTTAGCCTAAGAGTATGTTTATTTTTTGTTATTTTCGAACTTAAGTTGTAAACAAGTTAGAGTTGACTAGTGTTCTCAATGGACTATAACTGGTACTGATTATTCCTTTAAATTGTTAGTGTATATAATAAGTTAAATTCTGATTCGTTGAACATTTTATTTGCTTTAAATTTCAGGAAGAGTACTGGGTTCTCCAGGGGTGCATCCATGTATCGTGGTGTAACCAGGTATTTACTTAGTGGGCGTTTGGACATAAGAACTGTAAAATTCCAAAACATGGTGAAAATTTTTTTCGAAGTGAAAATGGTATTTGAAATTTAGAGTTGTGTTTGGACATGAATATAATTGGGTTATTTTTGAAGTTTTGTGAGTGATTTGAGTGAAAATTTTGAAAAACAGCTTTTTGGAGTTTTTTAAATTTTCGAAAATTTCCAAAATATATCTTCAAGTGAAAATTAGAGATTTTATGAACAAATGCTGATTTCGAAAAAAAGTAAAATTTTTTAAAAAAAGGGATATTTTTTTTTTATGTCCTAAACGGGCTCTTAAACCCGTTACGTTTCTCTCCCACTGAAAAGTAAATTCAACAAATATTGCTGTTCTTATTTCTAATTCTTCTTCTCATGATATGTGGGATCAGGCATCATCAGCATGGAAGATGGCAAGCAAGGATAGGCAGAGTTGCTGGTAACAAAGATCTCTACTTGGGAACTTTTGGTAAATATTTAATTTTTAACCTCTTGTATGAACTTTGCAAATAAAAAGTATCATAGTATTAGGATAAACAAAAGAAATAACAAAATAAAAAAACGGAAAACACTTAATATACTCCAGCAAAATATATAGTCAGTCATAAAATTTTATATGGCGATATGTGATTGAACATTGAATCTAAGAAAACGAAAAACTTTTATCACCTATGTTAAATATATATAATCTTGTGGTCTTATATGTGCTCTCACTCCTATTAGAGAAAGTCATAAAAAAAGTAAAAGTGAATGTAAGAGTTAAAGAGCTTTTAAATATATAAAAAAAAAATATAAATCTTTTTCGAAGGAACTAAAAAAGGAGAATGATACGTAAAATGAACCAAAGGTAGTATAGTAAAACCTAACATAAAATGAATATAAATTACAGCATTATAAAATTAAATATACTTGGACAACATATTAAAAAGTTTTAATGAAAGAAAATCTTGTTGACTCTTCGATTATAACGTCATATAGTGTGGAATAAAGGAATATTGCTTTTAATTAAGGATAAGATAGATCATTTGAGAATATATTTTTGGTACTGGATTCAATGAATTCGATAGCCTAAAGCTGCATTCGCGCCTGCATGCAGGTACTGAGGAAGAAGCTGCAGAAGCATATGACGTAGCAGCAATAAAGTTCAGAGGCTTAGGTGCAGTTACAAATTTCGAGATGAATCGTTATGATGTGAAAGCCATTCTTGAAAGCAATACACTCCCTATTGGTGGTGGAGCTGCTAAAAGGCTTAAAGAAGCACAAGCCTTTGAATCCTCTAGAAAACGTGATCAAGAAATGATATCCTTAAACTCAACTACTACTTTTCATCAATATGAAAACTCAAATAATTCTGGAGTTGCTTTTCAAACTTACCCTTTAATGCAGCAACAACCCTTATTGACTACTCTCCAAAATCAAGATTTTAGTTCACAGTTTCACCAAAGTTATATCCAAAGACAGTTGCAACTCCACCACCAACAATCTCACCAAATGTATAACAATTATCTTCAGAGTAATAATCCAGTTTTCTTGCATGGGTTGATGAATTCATCATCTGTGATGGATAACAATGGAGGAAGTTCAAGTGGGAGTTATAGTAATGGTGGATATCTTGATAATACTACTGGAATTGGGATGACTTCAAATTCCCCTTCAGGAGGAGGCTCTGCTCATGAGGAGATTGCAATGGTTAAAGTTGATTATGATATGCCTTACACTGGTTGGTCAGGAGAGTCATCAGTTCAAGAATCAAATCCTGGAGGTTTTAATATGTGGAATGATTGAGAAATTGAAGATATTGATCTACAGGGAAAATGTTCAAATTTGTCCCTGTATTAGTCGAAATTATTCAACAAAATGTTCAAATTTGTCTTTGTATTATTCAAAATTATTTAATTTTTTCTTCTATTATAGTTTTCGTCCATTCAGATCAGTGCCGTGAGTAAATCGTCTCGTATTTGTCCTTTCCATCAGCGGAACTCCATCGTGAAATGTGTTGACTCCACATATCCAAATTCTTCGAGAAAAAGGTCCAATTTTAGCCCGTACCTTTTTATTATGATTTACAATTACCTTCAAGTGTTAGGGTCAAGGGCAAAAAACGATAGTTTTTCTAAAGGTGGAGCAATATTAGACCAACAGTTTAATAAATGGTAAAATTGCTCAATTTTGAATAATATTGAAACAAATTTAACCATAACTTTGTTTTGCTTACGGGATCGGATTAGATTATGTATATATATTAAGTGAATTTTTAATACTAATAGAAGTATTTGAGCTAAAATTATTGGGTTTAACCGAATTTGTAACTTCTAATGTGATTCCACCCCAGTATATCCCTATGTAGGTCAACCAAGTCGCCTCAATTGGAATTTGGAAGGGAAGCAGCAAGGGCGCGACATATTGATTTGGGCAATACTTGCTCGCCACAGAGAGTAGTTTCTTTAACGATCATGAAATAGAACACCCCACTAAATACACGGCTAGATTTGAATCCGCCTAACCGCTTTGTGCTCTTAATTTGTTATATTAAGTTATTCACCATTCATCCTAAGTTATTCCGTCAATGTTAAATAGAGTTATCGAAACCACTTTATGCTCTATATCTTGTTATACTCCATCCGGATAAAGAACATAAAGTGGTTAGATGGGAGCGGAACCTCGTTACGACATATTATATGGTCCATTCTGAAACTGATGCAAATTTATGGTTAAAATATTATGGTATAGTCAGTTTTCACACTGGTCAATGAAAAATAGCCAGCGTTTATCAAGTCAATGAAAAATAGCTACTATTTTGCTGCAACAGAGACCGGTCCAGTATAATATACGGGAGTTCTGGTGCATTTGTGTACGAACTCCAGCATATTATGCTGGACCGGTATACTTTGCTAACTCCTGTAAAATTTGCGGGAGACTGGAGCACCAGTGCTCCAAACTCCAGTATATTATACTGGACAATTATACTTGCTGGAACTCCCGTAAAATTTGCGGAATTATGCTGGAACTCCCGTAAAATTTGCGGGCGTATTTTTCCGGATTTTGAACAGTGTTTTCGCTCAGATTTAAAGTGGCTAAATTTCGATGACTTTTGAAACTTGGCTATTTTTCAACGACCAGTGGTAAATCTGGCTATTTTTGAATTTCTCCCAAATTTATGGCCATTGAGTTTTAATTTGATTATTGTAGACATGTGATTTTTGACCCTCCCCAAGATTTTTATATTGTTAGCATGTAAATATTTAATTTAGGCATAATATAGCTATTTTAATTAATTTTGACTCTTTTACTTTATTACAAAAAAAATATTTTAGTTTATGTATTTTTCATAATTTTTTAAAAAAAATACAAAAATAGTACCTTATTTTAATCTTTATATAATTTGGAAAAATACAAAAATAGTTCCATGTTTAGTTTAATTAATTAGTGTTAGTTTTGCATTGTGTAGTATTTTATCTTATCTTTAAAAAAAAAAGAGTCAATTAAGGTGTTGGATCACAATTTAAAGAGTTTTAGAGTCCAATTCTAGGCCCAATTCGGATTAGTCCATTAAGCCTAGGGACCTTTCTAGACTCTTCTTTGGAACAAAAAAATAAAAAAAAAAAACCCTAAGAACTTAACACAAGCTGGAAATGGAGATCAAAAACGTCACCTCAGAGCTGATTTTGTTATGGCAATCCACAGGCATTTTTTGGCTACATTTTTTGGATAAAGCTAAAGCATATCGGGCTGGGATTTCAGCAGGTCAATACAGCGGAACATATCAAAAACATACTCAAGGGAGGGAAACAACAAAAGTGGAAAAGGAAGATAAGTAGAAAAAGAGAACAGAAAGGAGGCACGC